GGAGTTCACGAAAATCTCCCTTTTCTCTCCAAAAGCCAGTCTGGAACTTTTTTGGGTTGATTTTCTGTTTGAGTTGCGACTGAGGGTGAGTTTTTTGGAACGACCGTCCACCACCCCTCCTCTTGTCTCATCCCTTTCTTTTTATCCCCCACAAGAACGTGCTTCAGAGATCCTATCCACCAAATCCAACCAGATTTTTAGCCCGTGATTGCCCACTTACCAAGCCTGCAAACTGAGTCTCTTCACCAACTCTGACTCCAAAATCATCATACTTTGCAGCTGTTGAGTGAGCAGGTTTGACTGAGATTATCACGTGCCTTCAGCAGCTTATCCCTGGCAAATTTTTGTCCATTTGCACTCCTAATGATGGTCTCACACCTCGGCCAGAGTTCACGCTGATCGGCTGGCTGAGTAGGATATGGTGGGGCCACAAAGTTGGCTACTCAGCAGCCTCGAATTGAGACCAAATCGTGGATCGGTTTTTGGAAGCTGATTTAAGTGCTTTAATCCATTAATTTGGTCGGAATTTTTGATCAGTTGAAATTTGAATTTTATTAGTTTAAGATGATAATCAGAATCTGCAATTTTCCATGCCCAATTTTGCAGGAAAGTCCCTCAAAATTAGCCATTTTCTTGCCCGATTTGAGCCAATTTAGTCCTTTTGGCTTGATCTAATCAATTTTACCTTGCCCATTTTCAATTTTAAGCTTGATTAGGGGTAAAAATGATGATTTAAGGGCTTGGGGGCAAATTTTACAAATTTTGCGATTTGGTCCCCCAACTCTTTGGAAATTGCATTTTGGCCCCAACTTACTGGTTCATTTGCAATTTGATCCCTCAGGTCTCGGCTAGCTACACTCGAATCCTTGGCCCTTGCTCTTCCATTTTTTGTTTTAGTAGAATAATTCCAAAATATTATTGTGGAAAAATAAGTTCCAATTTTTCAAAAATGATTTTTGGGCAAAAAATTTAGGTGTCAACAATGCCTCTCGCTTCAGCACTCTAGATGCAAAAAATCAATTGGCAGGCTGTTCTGCCACTGGTTCTGTTGGCCCATCTAGGTATTGGGAACCTCGATTCCTCTGGCCCAATTCGTGGTTCCCAGGTGGGAACCAGACCAACTCGAGAACCGATCACCGCTAAGCATAATAGAGATGGCGCTTCTTCTAGAGGCAAGTCTGGATGTCCCATCAAATGTTGATTTGGTCGAAGCCCTTTGCTACTTTGTTTGTGAGATTTTATGGAACCACTGCTAATTGTATTAAAAGCTTAAGCTGTTAAATGAAGACGTAGTTTAATATTTAATTATTCTAATACTCCCCCTCACGCTTAGTCTGGTCTTTTGGCCTAGTACTAAGCGTTGACATATTTAACTGGAGAGGCAAATGGGGCCTGGAAAAATTTGAACTCAGGACTTCTAGCTCTGATACCATGTGAGATTTTTGTAGGATCACTGTCAACCGTTCTAAAAATTTAAACTGTTAGATGAAGGCGTGGTTTAATATTTAATTATTCTAATAAGCTTTAGTCTCATCTTGAAAGTGTACGAGGGTTTGAAACTACGTAAGGAGAGGTGGTTGAAGAATACAAATTCAAGTAGAACAGAGTGGCAAGTCCTAACGTAGGAACGGATGAACGGAGGACACTTCATGAGGGACCAGGTGTCTGCTGCAGCTTAGGAAGCGTCAGCATTGACGGAGCTACATGCAATATGACCCACAGAAAAGAAGTGTTATTTCATGTACTGAGCGAAACTTTCAACGTTTCAGCAAGTCCTCATGTCTCCAGTTTTGTTGATGGGGCAGCTAACGATTGTAGACCATTCTATGTGGACAGCATTGAGAATGAGCGTATCTTGCTTTTCCAGGGATTCAGAGGTAGAACAGGGCAAGTGAACAAAGAGGGAATCGACAAGAACCTGCTCTTATTAAGGCCACTGGTCGACAACGTATTTTTGATTTCTTCTTCTTATCTCATAAACTAGAAGTAGCAACAGCTGAAGCTATTCAAGCGAAACTAGAAGGATAAATTGCCCTAGAAAATCACAAATGTCTTGTGCGAAGTGCAACCGAAATCTAAATGTTTTAGAAAACATGATCAAGTTCTCGAGGCTTTCCAAACCTATGCAGTGAAGTCCTGATTTCGACATTAACTGTGTCTAGTCACCGGAATTTCAAAATACTCGAAGTTCTCACAAAACTAAACCTATGATATACCTGAAGGATCTATAGACCAAATATATATATACACACTTGAAGGATCTTCTCCACGGCATCAACCAAGATGGCAGTGCGATGCCCAATGGCCTATGGAGAGAGAGAGAGAGAGAGAGAGGTAGAGGTTTGCATTTCCCATGGTTTCATACCAGTTATTTACCCTCCTTAAGGTCTATAGTCTTATAATGGACATCTTAATTTAAATGTCTCCACCGGTGTTCAATCTACCATACATCTCTTAGGATAATTTACTCATTTGGAGTTTCGATGACACTAATTTGTTGGGGTGCATTAATCAATGTTAGAGATAAGGGACCCACATGGAAAAGATTTTTTTTGCTGTAAAATATCAATGTTACAAAGCAGACGAAGTATAGTAGCTTAGGGGCATCCCCAGCATCACAAATAATGCTAATAATTCAAAAAGATGGAGGTAGGGAGTCTCCACATAGTAGCCTATAAAACATTTGTCTAGGAAGGTCTAATTCTACCTTTTACATTTTTACGCACCTTAGCCAAAATATTATGGATGTCAATTGATTTATTTTGAAACCGTCTACGGTTGTGCTTTATCCAAATTCCATCTATAATTGATAGAAAGGATACCTTGAGGAGTCATGCCACCAAGTCTTCGCCTTTTGTTGCCTTAATCATCCATTAAAGTTCCTCATTCCATCCTCTTAAAGGATGCCTAATCCCATGTTGTGCAAGAATACTGCACCATATGCTGCCCGTCAACTCACACTGAAAGAATAAATGTGTTCTGTCTTCTATACCGGCCCTTTAGAAGTTGCACAATATACCAACTGAAGTCATCCATTGGCTAACAATCTTTGCTATTGGTAATCTATTTCTACAAACGAGTCAGCCAATAAAATTGTGTTTGCTAATGCCGCCGGTCCAAATTAGGTTATACCACTTCGCAACCGATCCCACATGTCTAAGTTGATAATAAATTTCTTGGCAACAATACCTTTGGCTATGGATAACTGAAGTTAGAACAGGTAGAAATTTAAGGAGACCTCGCTAACTCCAAGCCATATCGCTCCTAATGTTGATCTACATAATTGGAGTGCCTCTGTATTTGGTGTTGTGAACCCATATACTCAAAAGGGAAGAAGATGGACAATTGATAAGGTTTCAGAACATGCGGCCTAACAATACTTTGTTCTATAAGTTCAGAACGAGCAATCCTAATCTTCCTTCCCTTTTAGGTGAGCAAACTACTTGTCATGCCACTTTGGGCGATCCATGATTTATTGTATTACTTGCCTGCAAAAATTGATGGATCCTCTTTTCAACCTTGTATATGATTTGCTTTGGAAGTAAAAACATTTGCATCCAACGGATGGATGCAGATGGAGATGAGAACTAATTTGGGTAACTCTAGACGCCTTGCATAACTCATATGCTTAATGCCCCAACTTTCGATTTTCTTAAAGAGAGTTTGAATACTTCATTGGACTAAAATCTCGAGTGACTGTGAGTTCATATTTATGAGCTTGGGCTTGGACTTTTTCTTTGCGATCCCCAGGATAATTTATTGGTCTAAAGCTAATCGTGCATCTTAACAAGTAGTATCACTACTTGTATATGATTTGCTTGGACTTTTTCTTTATGATCCCTAGGATAATTCATTGGTCTAAAGCTAATCGTGCATCTTAACAAGTAGTGATACTACTTGTGGTAATCAGTGGCCACCAATATATGTCAATGTCTTTATAAATGTGATCTAATTATAGAAAATTTCATGCATAATTACGGATTTTTGGGGAAATTTATCATTACATTACCATTTGGTTGAAGTGACTATGAACGAAGGCAGGTTTTACGATGCAACAATGTGGGGTGGAGATTTACTAGATATAAATAGTTGACTCATAAATTTGATTTTAATTATTGTGTAAAGGTGGATCCAACTATATAATATGAAATTAATGGGTTCGAACTCAGACTCATCTTTGGAAATTTTCTCATAACAGGGTATTGGAATGTTGCGGTGCCACCCAATTACGATAAACATGAGGCCAAGGGTTAATTTGCATTTGATTCTGGACACAATATTACACAAGAAAACAACTTATAGTTAGATCGATTGATTCAAAACCATGTGACTCGGCATATAATTTGAGAAAATACATCATTCTGGAGCTGAAAAAATATCCTTAAATATTTCAGCAGCTGAAAAAATAATTTGCAAAAATAAATAATTCTAGAGCAAACTAAATACCGTAACACAGATAAAAAAAAGCAGCAAAATAGAATTGCCAACTGAAAAGAAACTTGTCGATTTCCTTAGAAACGTTTATTAAATTTTAAAGATGATTAATCATTTTGCCAACCTTTTCTAAACTCAAATTTGCCAAAACCAACATAGATAAAGAAAAATATTATCAATCTTTTTCATAGATCTTGAATATGAGGAAAAGTTGGTGACGTGGCAAGTGACGAGAAGACATTCTTTTCGTGGGTTTTGATAAATGGTTTCTAGAAATATGTTGGAGGAGGATCAAAACGGTGCAACAAATTGAGATAACGACAGTCTCAACAACGGAACAGAAGTGCTAGAATCAACAACCTTTGTTGCCTCATAGAATGACAAGTAAGAGGTTACAACAAAACGACTCGATAACCACAAAACAACGTTCTCATGCCCCCCATATTGTTTGTCGCCCTTCCATCTCACACCTTCTATAATAAGCAAAGGGCATATGAATAGCCTTCGGCTATTTAAGCTCACCTTGAAGACCCCAAACTTCACCAATTGAAATTAGCAAGAGGGCACATAAAATTGTTGTCCAACTCTCTTTGCATCTCCAACACTTTTCTGTCTAAACACGAGTGGTTGCCATGAAATATACTGCAATAATCTTGGTCTTTCTGCAATGTTGTCTTGCTTTGCAGGCCAACTCGACGATCCTGCATAAGTATGAGTCGATCTTCAACTTCGGCGACTCCTTAAGCGACACCGGGAACTACCTCCGGTCCGCAGAGGGATCTCCAACTGTGCCGAATTATCCTTATGGCAAGACCTTCTTCGGGCATCCGACCGGTCGTTATTCAGATGGACGTCTTATAATTGATTTCATTGGTATGTAGTTCTCCCGACTCTTCTTTGCTTTTGTAGATGCACGCTCTTGTTAGGAAAAAGAGCAGGCATATGAAACAGAAGGCCGCTGTTTTTTTCGTAAATATTTGGATCTTTAGCAGTATATATCCACGCTCAAAGAAAGAGTATTTTTCTACGTTTCGTATATGAATATGCAGCGGAAGCAGTTGGGTTACCCTATCTGAAGCCATATCTTGAGGTAGTCAACGGCTCGGTTGATGCTCGCGGTGGAGTTAACTTTGCAGTTGCTGGTGCCAAAGCTCTTGATCCGACATTCTTTGAAGTTCGACACATTCGAACGATCCCCATGACGAATTATTCCTTAAGCGTTCAGCTCCAGTGGTTCAAGAAACTAAAATCTTCTCTTTGCACATCGCAACAAGGTAGATATAAACCCTATTTTTGTATGCTCCCATTGAGGACTGACATATACAGCAATAACTTTTGTGTACGTCCATTTTGTGTCATCGATCTTATTCACTCAAGATATGGTCATCCATTTAGGTGATTTGGTAGATCTCAAGTATATGTAGTCTGTAAATCTTTCAGAGGATAATCACTCAGAGTTAGCATATTTTGTATTTTCAACTCAGAAACTGAAGGTCATTCGTTTGAATTCCATCAACTGTATGCAAGCTGCTCCGTGTCAGGGTCACTTGCTTAGGCCAAAGGCCTTAACTTTATCGGTTTATGGGGTTTGCAGAGCATTTTAAGGGTCTCTAGATAAATGGTTTTCTACCTCCGTGCTCTTGCATTATTAAATGAAATAAAACCAGTCTCTCATTGAGTGACTATAGTATCGGAATATTTCCAGTCATTACCATCTTTTATTCAATTACTTGAATCATTTCATCATTTGATTTTTGCTTTCGTTTTTTCTTTCGCAGATTGCGATACATATTTCAAGAAGTCCTTATTTCTAGTGGGGGAGATTGGTGGAAACGACTACAATCTTGCTTTCGCCCTTGGTGCAACCTTTGAGCAGCTCCGTCCCATTGTCCCAGATGTTGTTGGAGCCATCACCAATGCAATCAGCGTATGGCCCTTTCTTATCTTGCAAGTGACATGAGCACAATACTACTTGTTCAACAACATCTTACAAAACCGAGTTGCTATCTACGTGGTTAACCTTTTCTTACTACTCCAATAAATTTATTTCCAAGGCATGTGATTATTTTAGATGCTCATCGAAGAAGGGGCGGTGGAGTTGGTAGTGCCAGGAAATTTGCCGATAGGTTGCTCGACGTCATACCTGGCGACCGTTCCGCGTTTTACCAAGGACGACGTTAATATGACAACTGGTTGTCTCAATCGTTTTAATGAATTCGCCAAGTACCACAACGATTATCTCCAGCGAGAGTTGCAGCTTTTGAGACAAAAATATAGCCATGCAAGGATCATCTATGCGGATTATTATGGAGATGCCATGCGTCTCTTTGAATCACCAAAACAGTATGGTGAGTTTCCTTTCATCTTAGTTCATGATCGACGGTGAATAGGCATATACATAAATAGAAGATTTATCCTACTTTTGGTTTAATATGGTTCACCTGATTTCCCTAAGCACCAACCTTTTTGTCCTTTTTTGCAGTAATTCAGACCTTTTTCCATGTAGAGAAGTTCTCTGGGAAAAAAGCAAAGAATTATTTTTTTTTTGCACACTGTGTTGAATTTCCCTTTGCTTGCTCAGCATAAACTAAAAATAATTCGAGATGACGACCAAAGCGCGTTGAAAAGTTTAGTCCTGTATGAAGTCTCCTCGGACGTGTCACATGTTTAGTACAAAATAGAGTGGCACGGATATGTCACTACATGGCATCAAAATTAATCGAAAAGTTGTGGCTCTTGATGAACTTATAAGGGTGAGTAGTGAGATCAATGTCCTCTTGTTTTCAGGTTTCGGTAATTTGATACAGAAAGCTTGTTGTGGAGCTGGTGGACCATTCAATTTTGACGCCATGAAGATGTGCGGTTCCAAGGGCACAACTATGTGTACAGAACCATCAGCTTACATACTTTGGGACGGAGTTCACTACACCGAGGCGGCGTATCGGCACCTGGCCAAGGGTTTACTCGACGGTCCCTTCACTTCTCCACGTTTCGTTAACTAGAAGTCCGAAGGGGACAGTGCATAAAGCTTCGATTCTAATGTCAAAGATGAACTTATGCTCATGTTATTCTACCTGTTTCTTCTTGTTTCAGACTTCCATCCTGTAACCTTTTCTTGTTGGATTATCATGCATGTAATGAGTCATGAATGCAGATTGTTGCTATTGCGAGCCACTCAACTAATTAACTATCTAACTTTTCTCAATTACTGATTTATGATCGGATCCTCAGAAATTTACGTTTTTGAAGGGTTGACATAGTAATACTAACGATTTTGAATAGCACAAATTTGTTCACGATATTTTCTTTTTATTCCTTTCATTTTTTACCATTTTACTTCTCTCACTCTAAGCCTCTCCTCCTTGAATTCACTGAATATAGACCTCCTCCGCCGTTGTCATCGCCCGTGATTGTCACCGACCTCAATCCGAGCGACCCCATCAGCACAAATTCTCGATACATTTTCTTTCGTTGCAAATTTTTTTCCCATATTCTTCATTCCCACTCCACCCCTATCCTCCTCAACTACACTGTACACAGACCTCTGCCGATGTGGGCCCCCAATGTCACCTCCAGCCTCCATCCATGTCGAGCGATCCACGACCGATTGCCCTGTCGTCGCAACCATCGTGCGTGATCTGCCTCTCTCTCTCGTGCATGTGTCAAGTCACCGACCACCAAACTAATTGCACGACTCGAGAGAGGATGATCTCGAAGTCATGACAAATCACCGTGCATGTCGGGCGAGGGCCATACCCGGGTTCTGCCAACCTGGTCCTTAAACTCAAATTGGGCTCAAAATATGAGCCCAGTCCAATCGAGGCCTACTCCTACCAAGCCCTAAACTAAACCTAAGCCTTGATTCCAATTTCATCTAGCCTAGCCCACTAAAAATAAAAACCTAGCCCAAAGTAAAATAGGCCGGCTTAGAACAAAGCGGGCCAATCAGATTCGCGAGCGGACTTGGCTCGCGAACTCTCCCTCATCCGCAGTCAAATTGCCGCGACGGAGATGGCCGTGGTGAGCAGCGCTGCTTGTATCCATCTGACTGAGGGTGTGTCCAGACTCTGCCTTAGGAGCAGGCTAGGCGTTCGGCCCAAGTCCAACAAGCTGTTGTATATTTAAGCTATTTTTGATATATTAAAAAGTAACGGCTTTGATAATAGTCATGATCGCCATGAAAGTCATCATTTTGTAATGGTTTTGCAAACTTGAGCGGTTACTGCGATACTTTAGCTAGATGAAATTGAAAACTAGACCCTTGGGTATCCGAATATGTGAACCTAATCTTGTGTATATGTGCTTCGGACTATATATATTCCTTTCTAATCTAAGCATAATTAGGGGTAAGCAAAAGGAACCACCTGGCTTGAACCAGATTGGATTGATATATATATTTTTAATTTTTTACAAATATGTAAAAACTAACGAGCCCTTAAACTAATCCTTGACTCCACAAACCCTTAGACTCAGTCACTCTCTCCTCTCGCACGCACGTCTAAAATCCTAATCTCAGTTGCTCGCCTCCTTCTCGCTCGACTGTTGCCTCCCTCTTGCAGTCTCACTCTCTCACTCGACTCTATATCTTGCTATGCGTTGGTGTTTCTTCCATTTGGTTCTCGGCTTATAGCTAGGAGCAGCGTCGAAAACCGAACAAAGTGCCTAGTATGACAGAGGGGAACATTTCTTTCTTGATTCCACAGCTGGAGGAAGAATGAGAGTAACTTCCATTGGAGACAGCAGCCGAGGCGGTGCCTCCGCTGCAACACGCCCTAATTTATGTTCTGTGTTTGCTGATTTAGTAGAGCATCTCGGACTTCAGAGATTGAGAGTGGAGCGTGTGCTTTCTCTTTCCTACTTAAGACCATTTCTGGATTAATGAGAGCGGCTTGGGGAGTGATGCCGATAAAAATTTACGAGAAACAGAATCGATTGAACCATATCTGTAAAGCACTTTTATTCTTGTACAGCATTCATGCCTCTCGCTTCAGCACTCTAGATGCAGAAAATCAATTGGCAGGCTGTTCCTGCAACAACAATAACTACAAAAACAATGAGTCAAGACAGATTGACATACATAGAGAGAGAGAGAGAGAGAGAGAGAGAGAGAGAGAGAGAGAGAGAGAGAGAGAGAGAGAGAGAGAGAGAGAGAGAGAGAGAGAGAGAGAGAGAGAGAGAGAGAGAGAGAGAGAGAGAGAGAGAGAGAGAGTTAAAGGGGTGTTCCCATTTTATGAGAAAACTAATTGGAAGTTTATGCTTGGAAGGTATAATGAGAGAATATAACGGCAAATAATTAAAAAAAAAGAACATGCCACTGGTTCTGTTGGCCCATCTAGGAATTGGGAGCCTCGGTACCTCTGGTTCAATTCGCGGTTCCTAGGTGGGAACTAGACCAACCTGAGAACCGATCACTCCTAAGCATAATAGAGATGGCGCTTCTTTTAGAGGCAAGTTTGGATATCCCATTAGATGTTGATTTGGTCAAAGCCCTTTGCTACCTTGTTTGTAAGATTTTGTTGGACCACTGTTAACTGTATTAAAAGCTTAAGCCGTTATATGAAGAAATAGTTTAATATTTAATTATTCTAACACTCCCCCTAACGCTTAGTCTAGTCTTTTAGCTTAGCACTAAGTGTGGACAAATTTAACTGGGGATGGGGCCTGAAAAAATTTGAACTCAGGACTTCCAGCTCTGATACTATGTGAGATTTTTATGGGACCACTGCCAACTGTTCTAAAAGCTTAAACTGTTAGATGAAGGTGTGATTTAATATTTAATTATTCTAATAAGCTTTAGTCTCATCTTGAAAGTGTACGAAGATTTGAAAATACAGAAGGAGAGGTGGTTGAAGAGTACAAATTCAAGTAGAACAGAGTAGCAAGTCCTAACGTAGGAACGGATGAACGGAGGACACTTGATGGGGGACCAGAAATTTGCTGCTGCTTAGGAAGCGTCAGCATTGATGGAGCTACATGCGATATGACCGACAAAAAAGAAGTGTTATTTCATGTACAGAGCGAAACTTTCAACGTTTCAGCAAGTCCTCATGTCTCCAGTTTTGTTGATGGGGCAGCTAACGATTGTAGACCATTCTATGTCGACAGCATTGAGAATGAGCGTATCTTGCTTTTCCAGGGGTTCAGAGGTAGAACAGGACAAGTGAACAAAAAGGGAATCGACAAGAACCTGCTCTTATTAAGGCCACTGGTCGACAACGTATTTTTGAATTTCTTCTTCTTATCTCCTAAACTAGAAGTAGCAATAGATAAAGCTATTCAAGCGAAACTAGAAGGATAAATTACCCTAGAAAATCACAAATGTCTTGTGCGAAGTGCAATCGAAATCTAAATGTTTTAGAAAACGTGATCAAGTTCTTGAAGCTTTCCAAACCTATGCAGTCAAGTCACTAATTTCGATGTTAACTGTGTCTAGTCACCGGAATTTCAAAATACTCGAAGTTCTCACAAAACTAAACCTGTGATATACCTGAAGGATCTACGGACCAAATATATATATATATATATAGTGTGGAAAATCTTATCGTTCTAGACTACCAAATAGTCTGAGTAACGGGAGAATTTCTACCAAAGAAATTTTCTTACTTCTGCACTTGTACTTCAATATCTACATTCTGTAACCTTTCAATACTGTTATTGTAATCTTTCCATATTATTTATATAACAGTTATTTCTAATTTCTTCCATATATTTACATTTACATACCCCACAAACGGCAGGTCGAACCGCCTGTGGATGGTCTGTACTTTAATTTAAAGCAGTTCTCTGCAATTGTTATATATTCTTACTTCTTCTTACCGTTTTACCCTTTTCATTCTTGCTTCGCATTACCACCTACATGGTCGGTTTAGAATTTCTGGCAATACTCCTTCTCGTTCTATACATTGCTTACGGCCTTTTTATTATTTATAATGCTCGTGCTTTTATTTAATTTTATTTATTTAATAATTTTCTGTGTAGAAATCTGCACTTTTATATTAGAATATATCTTCTCTGTAGCCTGTTCTCGAAATATACCCGAAGTTTTATATAAGTTTAATCAGTATAATAGATATTTTGCATATTTAGAGCGACGATTAAATATTACGAACATCTTTGTCACTCTAATCTTTTTATTACAATTTCCCGAATTCCTTTCTAGATTCTTTTCTAATAAACGAAAACAATCAGATTAATTGATCTTCTATAAAGATATTCTCTCTATTTATAATCCCCAGATCCTAGGCCATTGATGGTATCAGAGCCAAGGGGTAGATAAAAGTATTCTTTATAAATTCATTCACAGTAAAGATGATTTCCTTCGTGGAGGTCTTTTCGCGTGATTTCTGGATGTGTTCCAGGCAGTAAAGCCCAGTGGGGTAGTAAGTCTGTTGGTAAGCATCGTCGAAATCTATTGAAAAGAAGAAAGTAGTCTTTTGCAATGAACTTATTAAGGAGATCTGAGTCTTCTTCTATTTCTTTATCACAAATGTCTTCTGATCAAGGACCAATAAATAGAGAAGAAATTAATATAGAAGATTTCAATAAATCTATTGAAAATTGGTTCGTTCCAAAAGTTAAACTTGATAAAATCTATGAACATTCCAAGTTTAAACTCTTTGGGAACAATGACTATGTCATTGTTACTGAAGAAAGGGATGTGCCACTTTCTAATTCTTTTGCTTCAATACAACTTTTAAATAAGGATTCTATAAAGAAACATTCCCAGAAATGGAATTACATGCACATAGGTTTGGTACAGGTCGGTGCAAAGCCCCTTACCAAAGAAGGATTACATACTTCCTTGCTTCTTGTTTTGAGAGATGCGATACTTTTGAAATATGAGGAATCCATTCTTGGAGCCGTAGAAACAAGTATTTGCAGTGGACCAATTCATTTTGATAGTCATCCTGGTCTTACTGTTTCTCTCAAAGACAAAAATATTTTAAAATCTCTTACCCTCCAAATAAAGACCCATAATTATTCTATAGCTGAAGGTTCTATTCCCATAGCTC